CCCTCCTGGGCACACAAAAGACTGGACAACTTGGAAGGCCCTGAACAGACTGTGTGCGCTCTGGTACCAGGAGATGCAAAGCTAACCTTAAGAAATGGGGCCACAAAGTAGAGTCCACAACATGAGAATGTGGAGAAGAGCAAACCACAGACCACTTACTACAATGCAGTCTGAGCCCTGCCACATGCACAATGGAGGCTCTTCTTACAACGAAACCAGAGGCACTCCCAAGTGGTCAGCATCTGGTCAAAGGAAATTTAGTATAATGCCAAGTTTTTAACTTTGTGTTTTTCTGTACATTATAACTGTATTCTCAATTCGCTTCTGACATGATAAATAAATAAATATGTACAAATGTCACTATACAGTGTCTATGATTTACCAGTTGATGTCAGAATTGAGTCCCAATGATTCAAAACACACTCTATATAAAGGCAATTTTTCTGTTTCTGATTCTAAAAAAGAAAATCTTGTCAGCTGTCCTATGAAAACAACTATAAAATGGATCTTTGCCCATTGAAGTAGGATTCCACATTCTATCTTCTGATAGCTGTTTCCCTGTTCATCACACATTTTGCGTTTGTGGTGTAACAGCAACATTTGTAATACTGTCTCTTCCATTTCAATCCTACAATTTCTTTTAAAGGAAAATCTTGTAATTGAAACTACTCTCAAATTATTTACTGAGCTAATATTGTTTGTTGTGTGCCTTCAAATGGTTTCCAGCCTTGGCAATCCGAAGGAAAACCTAGAATGACCCAAATCTATGAGGGTTTTCTTGGCATAATTTGCTCAAAGAGGGTTTACCTTGTCTTTTTCTGAAGTTACCCTTTTTGTATCTTATCTACAGTACACACAGAATTCAATAAAACAGTGTTTCCCAACCTTCCTAATGCTGTGACCCCTTAATAAAGTTCCTTATGTTGTGGTGACCCACAATCATCAAAATTATTTTCGTTGCTACTTCATAACTGTAAGTTTGCTACTGTTATGAATCGTACTGTAAATATCTGATATGCAGGATGTATTTTCATTCACTGGACCAAATTTGGTATAAGTATCCCATACGCCCAAATTTGAATACTGGTGGGATAGTGGGGTTGATTTTGTCATTTGGGAGTTGTAGTTGCTGGGATTTATAGTTCACCTACAATCAAAGAGCATTCTGAACTCTACCAATGATGGAATCGAACCAAACTTGGCACACAGAACTCCCATGACCAACATAAAATACTGGAAGGGTTTGGTGGGCATTGACCTTGAATATTGGAGTTCTAGTTCACCTACATCTAGACAGCACTGTGGACTCAAACAATGATAGATCTGGACCAAACTTGGCATGAATACTCAATATGCCCAAATATGAACACTGGTGGGGTTTGGGGGAAAATAGACCGTGACATTTGAGAATTGTAGTTGCTGGGATTTATAGTTCATCTACAATCAAGTAGTATTCTGAACCCCACCACAATAGAATTGGGCCAAACTTCCCACACAGAGCCCCCATGCCTTCTTCCAGCCTTGCACGCTCTCCCTCGCCCACACATGCGCACCATGCTGCCATGCACCGAGCATAACTGTTCTCCCCTCCCCACTTGGAGTCTCAGAAACAACCCTCCCCTTGGTTGAGAGGCCAGCCAAGAGCCCGGCCAATCACAGCAGAAGAGGACTTTTGGTGGGAGAATTTGCCATGTATCCAAAAAGGAAGAGAAGGTCAAGCGGAGAGATCTTCAGCCTTCTCTGTACAAAGTGGTTCCTAAGACCATCAGAAATATATGTTTGCTGATGGTCTTTGGCGATGCCTCTGAAACCCCCTCATGACCCCCCAGAGGTCCCAAACTCCAGGTTGAGAAATACTGCAATAAAATAAGGCTCCAAAAAACTCAAAACCTTGGCCAGCTTTCATGGAGAAATGTGTACCTATTGGTGGCCCCCAAGTCAGTGATCGGTAGAATCCACTCCAATCCAAAGCACCTCACCTATTTTAGGGACAAGTTCAGCACCTTGGGGAGTTCTTACAAAGTCAGAATAGATCCAGAATGGATTCACTGCTCCACTGAAATGGAAGCATCATCCGGACTTGGCAAAATAGACACTTTTCCTTTACCTTCACATTTGTATCAACCAGATATTCCTGCAAAACTTCACACAGTTAGATCAAACATTAATGGACTATTTCATCATTCATAGCTCGCTATCTGTCTCTGTCCAGGAGCTGTTCCAGCTGTGTTTTGTCTCAAACTGACTGGGGTAACTTTCTCAGAGTGAAGGAGGAGATAGTCTTATCGCGTTTTGAGTTTTATCATGCCTTCGGATTCCTATGGGAAAAGCCAATTCCAAGGAGGAGGAATCACTGTGGTAAATCCAAAGACTTGATAATCCTGTAGGGCAGGATTCATTTCTGACTCCTGTTTAATCTATTTTAAGTATGTTGTTGTTGTGTGCCTTCAAGTCATTTCCGACATATGATAAACCTAAGGCAAACCTGTCACTGGGTTTCTGGAACTGTGAGCGTATGACCCGTTCCCCGCACAATCACACTTCTATGTAATGGAGTCCATTTTGGTCAGTAATGAATCTCCTTAACGCTTCACATAGGGATGGAAGCAGGAAGATGTAGGCCTTAAGGGTGGAGAGAGTCATATTCCCACGCAAGATTGAGACATGCAAAATGTATTTTCCATATCTTATTTTGAATCACGTCCTACAACGCTCTCTGCTGTGCTCATTCAAGGCATAGCGATGGAGGTGTCTGGTCCAGCAGGGTCCTCTTTCCTCGGAGAACAGTGGCTCGCACAACGTGGGTCTCAACGTGGTGTGTCGAACCACAGCCCTGAGGTGGGTTGCACAATGGCAGCATCAATTTCCCACTATTGTTTCATGTTTCTTTCTAGAGAAGCAGGTAGCCAGGAAGGGAAGGAAGAAACTTGACAGAATGACTAGACGTGGGGCGTTGCCGCTGTTGTTGTTGGGTGCCTTCAAGTCATTTTCAACCTGTTGTGAACCTAAGGTGACCCTATCACGGTACTTTCTTGGCACAATTTGAGAGTTGCCTCTGTTGTTGAGAGTGTGATTCACAAGAGGTGAATTTCATGGCCATGTAGGTATTGAAACTCTGGTCTCCATGTCTAATGCTCTAACCAGAATTTTTTTTTTTGTATGGTCTAAAGCATTGGTACCCAATCTTCAGTCTGCCAGTGTTTGGGATTTCAGCTTCTATAATTCCTGAGCACTGGACAAGCTGGCCAATTGAAGCTGAAGTCCAAAACAACTGGAGGACCAAAGTTTGGAAATGACTGGCCTAAAGGATTCTTCTGTGCCAAACAACTTGTCATCCTAACAAGAGAAGAAGAGCAAAGATGTGAGAGTGTGGGAGTTTGTTGTTTGGGTTAGCAAATCTATCTTGAGACAGCATTTCAAGATAATCGCTGTTTTCATCTGGCGCATAGGGTTGCCAAGTGAAACAAAGGAAAAGGCTTTTGTGTCATTAATGGTGGCGCAGAAGATGGAATTTCAGCAGCCGGTGCTTACAGGATAAGCAACATCTGGTGAAGATCCTTCTCTTAAGCACCTACAGTTAGCTCTTCACATTTGAGGATTTCTCTTTTGCCACTTTGAATGTTGGTGGATTTGATTAATATGGTCTCTAGAAATTTCTAGATCCACCAATGTAACTCTATGGCCAATTTCAAGTGGGATTTCACCACAGAGTTGTGTTGGAGGAACTAGAGCAGCATTTCTCAATCTGGGGGTTGGGACCCCCCGGGGGAGGGGGTCGCAAGGGGGTGTCAGAGGGGTCGCCAAAGACCATCAGAAAACAGTATTTTCTGTTGGTCAGGAGGGTTCTGTGTGGCAAGTTTGGTCCAATTCTTATCATTGCTGGGGTTCAGAATGCTCTTTGATTGTAGGTGAATTATAAATCCCAGAAACCACAACTCCCAAATGTCAAGGTCTATTTTCCCTAAACTCCACCAGTGTTCACATTTGGGCATATTGAGTATCTGTGCAAAGCTTGGTCCACATACATCATTGTTTGAATCCATAGTGCTCTCTGGATGTAGGTGAACTACAACTCCAAAACTCATACACTTCCAGTATTTTCTGTTGGTCTTGGAAGTTCTGTGTGGCAAGTTTGGTTCAGTTCCATTATTGGTGGAGTTCAGAATGCTCATTGATTGTAGGTTACCTATAAATCCCCTCAACTACAACTCCCAAATGACAAAATCAACCTCCGCCCCTAAACCCCACCAGTATTCAAATTCGGGCATATCCAGTATTTGTGCCAAATTTGATCCAGCGAATGAAAATACACAGTACATCCTGCACATTATGCTATCTAAATACCCCAAAAGATAATCTTAGGTAGCTCCTCTTAGTACTTGGATGGGACACTGCCAATGAATACTAGATGCTGTAGGCTATATATCAAAGGAAGGAACTGGGAAAACCACTTCTAGGTATTCATTGCCAAATAAAACCTTATGATGTAAAGGGTTGCCATAAGTCAACATATGACTTGAAGATGCATATGCACAATATTTCATCATCTTTTCCCTCTCCTTGTTTTCTATTCTGCTGACTCCAGGAATTGCCCCATAATCCAAGTTGCCTTTTTTTCAATCACAGTTATGTTTTGCATATTATGTTTTAATCATTTGTCAGTTTGAATCTCAGAGTCTAATATTTTTTTTTTACTTCAGAATTTAGTTTAGAAGCAGAATCCTTAACTTAAGGGGCTGTTCTCCCTGTGACATAGTGGGTTAAACTGCTGAGCTACTGAACTTGGTGACCAAGCAGCCGTTGATTCAAATCCGGAGAGTGGGGTGAGCTCCCGCTGTTAGCCCCAGCTTCTACCAACCACTTCCTGAATGGGGATTTGAGTGCCACGAAAACTGGAGACTTTGTAGTCCCATCTTCCACCTGGAGATGATCCACAAAAACCAAACCCTGAGACCTGGCAATTGTACCTGAAGGTCTTGTGCAAGTTCAGGAGCCCTTCCCTATGTACTGTAATGCAGCTGCTCTCTCTGTTCCTTGACGGGGATGGTGGATCATGGCATAGTCATTGCCCAGCAGCTTGGGCCGGATGTCAGGCTGTCTTAGTGCTCTGTCAGAGCCAGGTACATCTCGACAATCTGGTGCCAAGCAGGGACAGGGCAGTGATTGGCTTCTTATCAAAGGGCCCCTCCTTGTGCCTGCCAAGAAGATGAAAGTCCAGTTTTGCGTATCATAGGCCTTTTCCGCTTTCCACTTGGCAGTGCTACAGCCATTGGGAGAAACCATGGATATCCTGGAGATAGATGCCCAGTATAGGAAGAAGGTGGCGGCTAATGTAAGAGCCTTTTTGTGTGTGTATCACTCACAGTGGAGGGAGTGGGAAATGGAAGCACAGTCTTGGGTGATGGTCTCAACCTACTATAGAAAGTTCCTTTCCTTGAGGGAGCTAGGATTCTACAACTCTATGGGAAAACGCTGTATTTATTTATTTACCATATTTGTATACTGCCTTTCTCAGCCCGGAGGCGACTCAAGGCGGCTCTGTATGCTTGTCAGTTTGACTATTTAAGACCCATTTCTGCCCTCTTTTTCAGGATTATGTTCTCACCAGTTCTTTGAGGGTTGCTGTGAGTTTTCCGGGCTGTATGGCCTTGTTCCAGAAGCATTCTCTCCTGACATTTCACCTGCATCTATGGCAGGCATCCTCAGAAGTTGTGAAGTCTGTTGGAAATTAGGAAAATGGGGGTTATATATCTGTTTATATATTCACAGATATATTAACCCCATTTTCCTAGTTTCCAACAGACCTTACAACTTCTGAGGATGTCTGCCATAGATGCAGGCGAAACATCGGGAGATAATGCTTCTGGAACGTGACCATACAGCCTGAAAAACTTACAGCAACCCAGTTCTCAAGTAGCCTACTCACTGGTATACTGCATAAACCCACAATAACCCAGTGGTTCAGGCCATGAAAGTCTTCGACAATACACAGTTCTTTACAGATAGTAAATTTGCATCGATTCCAATATATCTTTGCCACCACTTCATTATAGCAATTTTTATATTCAGAACTATGCTCAACAGTTTCTTCTTCTTTACATGAATGACATTTCCTATCTGTGGTTATTCTTTCAATAGTTGCCTTGCTCCTAATTGTTTAAAATATGTTTTTGAGCAGAAAATAGGTCTTTTTTAGTGTTCAATGTTGTAACCATTTCCAGATAATAGTCTCCTTTTCTACTCCTCTTTTTTTATTTTTGCCAGGCAACAAGGCATTTTTTTCACACACACACACACATTCAAAATCCAATATATTTTCTCTATACACACCTCTCAATGTTTTAATTGCTATCTTTGTGGTATTTACTCAAGCATTTTAATTCTTCTACAGTTTGTTTCCCTCAGCCTCCATCATTGTGTGGTATGCCTAAGTAAGTGCACTGTATAGATACATTTCATCATCATCCCCCTCATCACCTTCATCATCTTGAACAACATTTTGCTCTTTTCCTCAGGTAGCAAAATGTTATGTCTGCTTCACCTGTTGAAAAGGGTTGTTTGCTTGCTTGTCTTGTGTGTATTATGTGTAGTACTTTTCATTACTCGTAGTGTGGCAAACCTTGAGAAAGATTAATAGCTGCAGGTGAGATAAGATTCCATGAAAGATATCTTGCCCATCCCTGCTTATCTTTCCATACAAGCACCAGTCACATGGAAACACAGGGCAGAGTGGTAACCTGCTCTCATTTTACATAGGATGGCACTCACAAGACTACACTGAGCTGGCAAACATTCTTCCTGAGATGAGTCAGAACTTAACATAGTACCCAGAATCCCTTGCAATATTGATGGGGAATTAACATGATTCTCCAAGATGCCAACTCAAAGACAAAGAAAAATAACAACTGGCCAAGATCCAGAAAAAGTGACAATGAGGGGTGCGGTGAGGAAGATAGAGAACGGTTGAAGAACAGCCGGAACTTAGATACAGATATACAAGTTAAAAGTTATGGGACTGCACTGGATACGCAGGCAACAGAAATTGTAAATTATGGTTTTATCCTAGTATTTACTGGTTAGAATATATGCAGATGGAAGAAGATTAATTCTGAGCAGATAGGATTCTAGAATAAGACAGTTCTGCTGCGAAATCTTTATGTTGAATTCTGATTGTTATCTCTTTGTTCTTCATTATACTAAAGAATAAATCTGGTTTCTGCCTCCCGCAGAATTCTGGGGTTTGTAGTTTAGTGAGGCTGTTAAAGGCTCCTCCCTAAACTACAAACCCCATAATTCTGCAGGAGACAGAAACCGGGTTTAAAGCGGATTCATTCTCTAGTTTGATGAGGTCCTTTTCTTGAAAATATATCCCTGCATATTATGTAGTAGGATGATTTAGCTTGTCTCAATCCTCCCTTGTAGATGGCCAATTCTCTCACACCAGAAGCGACTTGCTCCTGACATGACAAAAAAAACAAAACAAACAAACCTCCCTTTGTCTAGGTGTTTAACATAGACAGTGTCTGCAACCAGGGATCCTCCAAATGTCTTAGTCTGCAAGTCCATGCTAGCATGGGAGTTGTAGTTCAATACTGTCAAACTAAATTAAAACATACTTATTTGGGGAAGGTTACTATAGACAAATGTCTTAGTCTGTAGGTTTGTGCTATGGGAGCAAAAGTCCTCTAAAGCTTACTTTGTTGAAATAGGTTACTATAGCCCAGGCATGGGCAAACGTCAGCCCTCCAGGTGTTTTGGACTTCAACTCCCACAATTCCTAACAGCCGGTAGGCTGTTAGGAATTGTGGGAGTTGAAGTCCAAAACACCTGGAGGGCCAGTGTTTGTCCATGCCTGCTATAGCCTATTCAAAGTTTGATAAGAATTGTTCTCATCTCTTTTAGCCTGAAATTCTAAATAACATTGTTTGGCAATTAAGCTGTTGGCTCGTTTTGATGTCTTCACGTGAAACAATTGATGTTCCACTTTTTTTCATGTCAGGCGCGACTTGAGAAACTGCAAGTCGCTTCTGGTGTGAGAGAATTGACCGTCTGCAAGGACATTGCCCAGAGGACACCTGGATGTTTTGATGTTTTACCATACTTGTGGGAGGCTTCTCTCTTGTCCCTGCATGGGGAGCTGGAGCTGGCAGAGGGAGCTCATCCGTGCTCTCCCCGGATTCGGACCTCCGACTTGTTGGTCTTCAGTCCTGCCGGTACAAGGGTTTAACCCATTGCGCCACCGGGGACTCCTCTAAGAGACCAGAAAAGACACTTTTTGGACTGGAACTTCAGAATCCCCTGGCCAGGATGGGAGTTGTAGTTTTCCCAAGTTTGGTCACATCTTCCTATGAATAAAAAGCAAGGAAAAGAAGGAAAACTGCTAAAACATGTCTGTAGTGCTTCAACTTTAACTGTTCTCTCTCCCTTTCAATGTCCCCTTCTTAGATGAGGAGTGTTCTATTGAAAATGACGCCTTTCTTCATCTCCTGTGCCATCTATTTTGTACTCCGGGTCCCTGAACCCAGCATCCTTGCCACTGTTGTCAAGTGCCTTCCGACCCTCTTCTTGGCGTTCTTTGTGGCCAGCCAGTCCCATAGTGTTGGAGCCTGGACGCCGTATGCCCGGAGGCTCTTCCAAGGGTTTCTGCTCTCAGCTGTGGGAGATGCCTGCCTGGTGTGGCCTTGGCTTTTCATTCCAGGTAAGGGGCTTGCAAAATTGGGTTGGATGGAACTTGGTCCAACTCATGGCATTTCCATAGCTTAGTCAAAATAGTAAAATGGTGCCAATCCACCACACAGCACAGGGACAGCACGGTTTGCAGATGTCAAACACAACACACTAGTAGAGAGGGGACCTCATCAGACACAAGTCCTCCCAATTTCCACACATTTCTACAACGTTTCAGGGACAAATAGCCACAGACCCCTTCATATGACGTAAAACTATTTCATGTTGTCATCCATTGTGTTTCATCCCTGAAATGTAGTAGAAGTGTAGAGAAATAGAAGACAGGGAGAAATCGTCTTCTGAGTTCCTGATGCGTCTGGGAATGGAGAAAGTGGGGAAAAACAAATGAGATGGCATCTGTCAGCTTTGCCCATGTCATTTTGGTTTAGTGATGAGGAGCAATGGAAAGATATTACTTGATGGAATGCCGGTGGCCCTTTTGCTGGAAGGACTGCTTACCGAAACGTCAGTGGTTTGAATCTGGGGAGTGGAGTGAGTTCCCGTCTGTCAGCTCCAGCTTCTCATGCAGGGACATAAGAGAAACCTCCCACAGGATGGTAAAACAGCTGGGCGTCCCCTGGGCAATGTCCCTGCAGACTGCCAATTTTCTCACACCCGAAGTGACTTACAATTTCTCAAGTAACTCCTGACACTCACACAAAAAACCAACACTTGATAATAGCACTATTTTAAAAGGTTTCAAAGGTGCATGATTTCCTTGGTTAAAAAAAAAAAAAGAATACGGAGTGGGCAGAGACTACACTCGCCCATGTGATGGTTCCAACATGAGACACAATGGGAGAAAGGCTGGGGAACAAATGCATCTGATGGGAATTTTAAATTGGAACTATGTATTTTTAAATGGAATGCTATGATACACTGTGCTAAGAAGACGATTCCCCTGCTTTCCAAAGCTCATCTGATGAAGACTAGGGCTGTCAGGTTTGCAATATTAGATATGATGCATGAAGCATCTATGGCAGTTCCTCAGAGAACATCTTTCCAGGCAGGAATCAGCCAGTCTTTGAAGCTGTAAGGCCATTCAATGCTAATCAAGGTGGCCAACTACAACATTCACACTTGCCTCAAGCAGATGAGAGTACTTACTCCCACCCTGGACATTATTCCACAGATATATAAACCTCACTTGCCTAGTTTACAACACACCTCACAACCTTTGAGGATGTCTGCCATAAATGTGGATGAAGCATCAGGAGAAAATGCTTCTGGAACATGACCATGCAGCCTGGAAAACTCACAGCAATCCAATCTTTCCAACAAATAACAACCTGTCTAATACAAATTAGGAAAGATTTCACCAGTTGTAAATTTATTTTCCAAGGTGGGGAAGACTTGTAAAGATGTAAACTCTATAAATCTGTCCTTGAAGGAGCGGGGGTGGTGACGGCCGACAGGGAGCTCTGGCGTGGACTGGTCCATGAGGTCACGAAGAGTCGGAGACGACTGAACGAACGAACGACGACGATAAATCTGTCTGTAGTAGTTGGCCTTACCAAGTAAATTATCACCTCTGACCACATGAGGGCACCAATGACATGTCCAGGCAGTCCCTGAGTTACAAACAAGATAAGTTCTGTAGGTTTGTTTTTAAGAGTCATTTGTAAGGGACTGCCTGTACTGTATATCTCTGGTTCTGTACAAAGTAGAAAGATTTGCATGGTTGGAATATAATATGCTTCGAAGTCTGTGCCTAAATGCCTTGTTGTTGTTATTCATTCGTTCAGTCGTCTCCGACTCTTCGTGACCTCATGGACCAGCCCACACCAGAGCTCCCTGTCGGCCGTCACCACCCCCAGCTCCTTCAATGCCTTAAAGGCACCAAATCCATCTGAACCTAAACAGTGTTAGACCTGGTTAAAACTTAAATGAGAAAACACCAAAAATATCAACTACTGTATGCTATATTTCAAAATAAGGAACTGATAGAATAATCTCTGAATATTCCATGTGTAAGAAAACTTTATGAAATATATAGAGTTTATATCAATCAATATGTGACTTGAAGACACACACAAGGAAGATGTGGACAGGGCGCATTCCCTTGAGACCGGCTGAGTGACAATATAAATCACCCACTCAATAAACAGATGAAACACATCCTTTGTTAAATCCTGTTTGCATATCCATCACATTTATATCTTTTGTCTGATTAGTTCTAGGAAGGGATGCATTGCTCTCCACTTTCTTCCTCCGTTATTCTAATTACAACCATGTAAAATAGGCCACATTAAGGTAGATCTAAGGTCACTTCATGGGCTGTGATAGTTCAAGTCTCAATGCAACTCTGTCCCTGGGATTTTTCTACTGTAATGAACTCGTAATGATTCAAGGACAGGTTTTAAAGAGTGCATGAACCAGATACAAAAACACGTTTAAGGTGTATATGACACATGTTTAAGGGCCCTTTCTCCATATCACAAACCACTGCCCATGACGTTTGAGGGAAAGAAGAGCAGCCAGACACAGCTCCATCATGGCTTAGTCCCAGGGGCCTAAGTTCCTTGTTCCACTATGGAGTGGCTTCTGAGGGAGAGAAGAGCAGTCAAGTATAGCCCCATCATATGTTGTTCCCTTTTTTCAACTATAGAGTGGCTTCTGAGGGAGAGAAGAGCAGTCAAGCATAGCCCTATCATGTGTTGTTCCCTTGATCAATGATGGAGTGCCCTCTGAGGGAGAGAAGAGCAGCCAAGCATAGCCCCATCATGCGTTGCTTCTTTGTTCCACTATGGAGTGGCTTCTGAGGGACAAAAGAACAGCCAAGCATAGCCCCACCATATCTTGTTCCTTTGTTCAACTATGGAGTGACCTCTTAGGGAGAGAAGAGCAGACAGCATCTGTTCAACTCCTCTTCTACTGCCATTCCTTTTTTCCATATAGACAAGTTATAATGCTCTAAATAATAATAATAATAATAATAATAATAATAATAATAATAATACTTTATTTGTACCCCGCTACCATCTCCCCAAGGGACTCGGTGCGGCAAATAAACAATCACAAAAATAATACAAAACAATAAATAAATTCATAAGAAAAAATAAGCAATAAACATTAACAATAACACGATGCATTTAAAAACCTATGGCTGGGCCAAATGTAATAATTAAATTTAAAAAAAATAATGCTGGGCATGACAAGGTGACATGTAACTGGGATAGAAATTTTGGAGAGTGAAGAAATGTGCAGACAATCTTAGATCATTAATAAAGTGCGTTTAGGGACATATTGCTGGGAGTTTCCTTATTCCGGGAAGGCACACTGAAACAACCACATTATCAGGCTCCTCCTAAAGACTGCCAGAGTTGGGGTTTGCCTAATTTCCTTGGGGAGTGAGTTCCAGAGTCGAGGGGCCACCACCAAGAAGGCTCTCTCCCTCGTCCCCACCAATTGCGTTTGCAGTGGTCGTGGGAGCGTCAGCAGGGCCTCTCCAGATGATCGAAGAGATCGTGTGGGTTCATGCACAGAGATGCGGTCACGCAGGTAGGTGGGTCCCAAACCGTTTAGGGCTTTGTAGGTAAGCACCTGCACCTTGAATTGGGACCGGTAAATGAATGGCAGCTAATGGAGCTCCTTAAACAGAAGGGTTGACAGCTCCCTGTAAGGAGCTCCAGTTAACAACCTGGCCACCGCTCGTTGAACCAGTTGAAATTTTGGTCCGTTTTCAAGGGTAGCCCCACGTAGAGTGTATTACAGTAGTCCAATCTGGAGGTGACTAAGGCATGGACCACCCTGGCCAGATCCGCCTTCATGAGGTACAGTCGCAGTTGGCGCACGAGTCTTAATTGTGCAAAGGCCCTCCCGGCCACTGCCGACGCCTGAGCCTCAAGAGTAAGTGATGCGTCCAAGAGGACACCCAAACTGCGGACCTGTGACTTCAGGGAGAGTGCAACCCCATCCAACACAGGTTGCCACCCTATACCCCGATCTGGTTTGCGATCTACCAGGAGGACCTCTGTCTTGTCGGGATTAATCTTCAGCCTGTTCCTCCTCATCCAGACAGCCACAGCGGCCAGGCACTCATCCAGCACCCGAGGGGCTTCCTAGGAATTAGGTGGAAAAGAGTAGTAGAGTTGCATGTCATCTGCGTAGAGTTGGCACCCAACTCCAAAACTCCGGATGACCTCTCCCAGCAGTTTCATGTAGATGTTAAAAAGCATGGGAGACAGAATGGAACCTTGCGGGACCCCACAGGTCAAAGGCCAGGGGTCCGAGCAGGTGTCTCTCAGCTTCACCATCTGGGAGCGGCCCTCCAGGAAGGATTGGAGCCATGACAAAACCGTGCCTCTCCGAGACCCATCTCGGAGAGTTGTCCCAAAAGGATACCAGGATCGATGGTGTCGAAAGCCGCTGAGATGTCCAAGAGAACCAACAGGGTCACACTCCCCCTGTCAAGCTCCCTACAGAGGTCATCTACCAAGGCAACCAAAGCCGTCTCAGTACCATGACTAGGCCTAAAGCCAGACTGTGACTGATCCAGATAGTTGATGTCATCCAGGAAACCCTGGAGCTGAGAGGCGACCACCCGCTCCAACACCTTGCCCAAGAAAGGAAGGTTGGAGATTGGTCTGTAGTTGTTCAAGACCGTGGAGTCAAGGGAGGTCTTTTTCAGGAGTGGTCTAACCACAGCCTGTTTTAGTCTAGATGGAAAAGTCCCCTGCTCCAGCGATACATTAATGATCAACATAAACCAATCAATCAGCCCACCTTTGGCCAGTTTAATTAGCCAAGACGGGCAGGGGTCCAGAGCCGACGTGGTCGCCCTCACAAAATAAATATGTATACCCAGCTTGCAGTTAGCCATCAAATGTCTGTAATTCATGTATATGCCATCCTAGAGCTCTGAACTATTTGGGCCAAGTTGTTTTAATTATCTACTTCTGTCTTTTCTCTCTCTCTCTCTCTCTCTCTCCCCCGCCCCTTTTTGCAGGGATGGCTGCCTTCGCTGCTTGCCACATCGCCTACATCTCGGCTTTCGGCTTCACTCCTTTTCGGCCTCTTATCCTCATCATTGTTGCAGGGCTAATGACGACGTCTTATGTCTCCTTGCTGCTGCCGTGCCTGGAGGGCATCTATGTGTGGGCTATCACAGCCTATGTAGGTCTACTTGGCATCATGGCATGGCGCGCCCTTTCTCTCAGCAAACGACTGAGTGCTTCAGTCGGCAGCGTGATCTTCGTTGTGTCCGATCTGTATGTTGGCCTTGATAAATTCTGCTCCCACATGCCTCACGCCCACATGGTCATCATGCCCACCTACTACATCGCCCAGGGCTTGATTGCATTTTCAGTGGCCTCTCAAAAAGTCCCTCGGAAGGAGCATTGAGCCTTTGAATGGGACTCGTGCATTAACATTTTAAAATAGTGGGACAACTTAGGAATCCTGTCTTTCAACAATCCGCCCTCCATCTTCTTTTCGTCTATTCTACAAAGAATGTACACACTCTAGCCTTCTTTCATCTCATTCCCTCAAGAGAGATGTCTTCATTTTGGGACATTCCAACATCTATTTTACTGTATCATCTATAATGGCTTCTGAGGCATTGTCTACCTCAGTAGTTCCCAGCCTTTTTTTGACCAGGGACCACTTGATTAGGGACCACTTTGACCAGGGACCACGTTCCAACATTGGTACCAAAAGAGTTACCAATCAGTTTTTTTGTCAACTTTAGATTCAATTTGGTTATTTGATTCAGAAAATTGCATTGGATAGACCACATCAGCTCTAGTTTCTGGTACAGAGCATATGCCATCCAGTAGTCACCATCTACTCACCCACAGAAAACCATATTTAATAAGCCTTGGCATTATAAGAGGATTTCATGAGACCAGTCACTCTTGTTGCAATGGTGTAGTAACTGTGAGGGCGCGGACCATAAATGGCATTGGATAGACCTCATCAGCTCTAGCTTCTGATACAGAGTATATGTCATCCAGTAGTCACTGTCTGCTCACCCACAGAAAACCATATTTAATAAGCCTTGGCATTATAAGAGGGTTTCACGAGACCAGACACTCTTGTTGCAATGGTGTAGTAACTGTGAGGGCGCGGACCATAAATGGCATTGGATAGACCACATCAGCTCTAGCTTCTGATAGAGTATATGCCATCCAGTAGACACTGTCTGCTCACCCACAGAAAACCATATTTAATAAGCCTTGGCACTATAAGAGGGTTTCACGAGACCAGACACTCTTGTTGCAACGGTGTAGTAATTGTGAGGCCGCGGACCATAAATTGCATTGGATAGACCACATCAGCTCTAGCTTCTGATACAGAGCATATGCCATCCAGTAGTCACCATCTGCTTGCCCACAGAAAACCATATTTAATAAGCCTTGGTACTATAAGAGGGTTTCATGAGACCAGTCGCTCTTGTTGCAATAGTGTAGTAACTGTGAGGCCGCGGACCATAAATTGCATTGGATAGACCACATCAGTTCTAGCTTCTGATACAGAGCATATGCCATCCAGAAGTCACCGTCTGCTTGCCCACAGAAAACCATATTTAATAATCTAGAGCTGAAATAGTAGTGGTAGTAGTAGTAGTATTTCGTGGGTAGTCAGCCTCTCCCCTCCTGACATCCCTGCTGCCTTGGCACTATAAGAAGGTTTCACGAGGCCAGTTGCTCTTGTTGGCACGTAGTTTCGAGGCAATGGTGTAGTAATGGTGAGGCCATGGGCCATATTTTCATTCTTGCAGACCACTGGCGGCACATGGACCACAGGTTGAAAACCACTGGTCTATATGGACTAAAAAGATCATATTTATCTTGTATCTGATGTTGGAATAGCATACATCATATCTGGAGAATTCTGTTCTTTCTTTCTTTCTTTCCTTCCTCCTCCTTTTCTTCTTCCTCACCCCTAAAGATTTAAATCCAAGTTTAAAAGATCAAATTTATACCTCACATTTTTCTGGGAAACCCAGGTTATTTTATATCTCAGCTTTGGGGGCCTTTATTATTATTTTTTCAGGTGCATTTATATTGATAATTACATATCGTTATTTGCACATCTCTGTCTATCAGCATTTAAATACCAGTCACTTCACTTAACAGGATGGCCAAATCTGTATTGAGGCAAATGTATAAACTGTGAGCATATTTACATACATTAAGGAGAAGAAAATGGAGCAGCCACAGTCGTGTGGTGGGAAATAATGTGATTATCATCATGAAAACAGCTCTTTAATATTGAAGTGACCTCACACAGGAAAAAAAAAATCATATGACTGTTTATACTGCTCTTATTTCAATTTAATAAGGATGCGTTTGGTGCTAATGTGGTCACTAAGGGCCGGGAAAATGTGAACTGAAGCAGAATGTTTTTGTTTATGTAGACAGCACTTATAATTTCCTCTTGGATACAGTCCTAATAAAGAAGTTAACTGGGAATGCCTCGTGGTTTAAAAGCATTTATGGATGAAAAGCAAATGTATGTTGCCATTGTTCCAAGCTGACATCTATAAGAGTGCGTCTAACAATTAAATTAATGCAGTTTGAGATCACTTTAGCTGCCATGGCTGAATTCTATGGAATCATAGGAATTGTAGTTTAGTGTTGCACCAGCACTCTTTGTCAGAGAAGGCTGAAGATCCTGCAAAACTAGAAGTCCCATGATTCCATTGCATTGAGCTATGGTGCCAAGCTTATTAATGCTACAGTGTAGAATCATAGATTCATAGCGTTGGAAGACCTCGTGGGCTATCCAGCCCAACCCCCTGCCAAGAAGCAGGAAAATCACATTCAAAGCACCCCCAACAGATGGCCATCCAGCCTCTAATTAAAAGCCTCCAAAGAAGGAGCCTCCACCACACTCCGAGGCAGAGAGTTCAACTGATGAGCAGCTCTCACAGTCAGGAAGTTCTTCTTCATGTTCAGGTGGAATCTCCTTTCCTGTAGTTTGAAGCCATTGCTCCATGTCCTAGTCTCCAGGGCAGCAGAAAACAAGCTTGCTCCCCCTTCCCTCACATGGCCCTCATCATGTCTCCTCTCAGCCTTCTCTTCTTCAGTCTAAACATGCCCAGCTTTTTAAGCTGCTCCTCATAGAGCTTGTTCTCCAGACCCTTGATTATTTTAGTGTAGATGCAGCTTAAGCCCCATTGACTTGAACAATCTGAGTACATATGCATAGGATTTTCTTTTTCAAGTGGTTTCAAACTGCATTAATACAACAGTGCTGATGTTCATGGGTTTGGGCACGTTTTCTTACACTGTTTACAATGAATGAATGAATGAATGAATGAATGAATGAATGAATGAATGAATGAATTGTTTATTGCACCAGCCATAAGCCATTACATCAAATAATATACAACCTTTAAAATTACAATAAGCACTTTCCAATATAAACATTAAACTTATTATATATACTGGCTTTTTAAAGTAACAGTAGCAGTGACATGATAGCAATAACAATGTCTGATCTGTATCATCTTGAACTATCTCCAATGAAGTTCAAGCTCTTTTTTCCACCTTAAAAGATTATATTTAAAGCATAGGAGAATCGCCAACACGATGAGTGATGATTGCCATGGTGCCAACCAGGAACTTTGCTCTTGCCCACAACCAGTTTACAAAACGATCGATCAAGTATTTCAACACATACTTTCAGTACTTCCTTGAGGTCCTTTCCTGGTCATGCTCCTTCCTTTCTGGATACTCTTTTGAATAGAGAGGAATGAAGGTGGAGGAGATGGAGCAAGTGAAGTTGTGCCCAACTAGTGTGTCTACAAACTATGAAGTCTGGGGGAAGTTGGGGGGAAAACCAGCAATCTAGCAAAGGATGGGAAATGATACTGCAGTTGGTGAGAGCAATTGTTATTTTTCCATGCCTTCTTCGTCCATTCCATTGTTTTCTTCTGCTCATCCCCCTTTTTATTTTTTCTGTTTCCTTCTAAAAACCTCTTTCATCATTTTCTTCTTTTTTCCACTCTCTCCACCATTTTGATTTGGTTTTTTTTTTTACATTCCCTTCTGTCTTTATGTCAGAGGCATGAGTTGTTTACCCAATAGGACTGCAACTCCCACCATTCTTCACTATGTTGGCTAGGGCTGATTTGGGAGTTCTGGGGCCTGTCCAGACAGTACCTTTATCTATATATATAAAAATGCTCGGTGCATAATGATTACCTTAAAAACAAAAGAACCAATGAACGAAATCACACCAAATTTGGCAACAAAATGTCTCACAACACAAGGAGTGACCATCACTCAAAAAATTATGATTTTGTTATTTGGGAGTTGTAGTTGCTGGGATTTATAGTTCACCAGCAATCAAAGAGCATTCTGAACTCCATCAACGATGGAATTGAACCAAACTTGGCACATAGAACTCCCATGACCAACAGAAAACACTAGAAGGGTTTGGTGGACATTGACCTTGAGTTTGGGAGTTGTAGTTCACCTACATCCAGAGACCACTGTGGACTCAAACAATGATGAATCTGGACCAAACTTAGCACGAATATTCCATATGCCCAAATATGAACACTGATGGAGTTTGGAGAAAATAGACCTTGACATTTGGGAGTTGTAGTTACTGGGATTTATAGTTCACCTACAATCAAAGAGCGCTCTGAACCAGACCAACAACAGAATTGGGCCAAACTTCCCACACGGAACCCCCATGACCAACGGAAAATACTCAAGGCCATCCACTCCAATTCCCTTCACTAGGGCAAGAAAATGTAATCAAAGCCCTCCTAACAAAGGTCCATCCAGAGATAGATACAGATAGATAGATATGATTCATACACACACAGATATAGTATCATAGATTTGAAAGGGACCCCTGAAGAAGGAAAATTATATGTTGCAAGTCCAGAGTAGGCAAACCAGACACTCTCCACATCAACACTGACAAAGAAACAGCAAGAAATACTGTTTACCCACAAGCAGAAAGAAATTACATATATTAGAAACCAACACTTTCTCATTACTTTATTTTCCAGATCAACAGACTGGGCCACAGCAACGCCTGGCAAGGGACAGCTAGTAATAATAATAAATACTAATAATAAACTTTATTTATACCCTGCCACCATCTCCCCAATGGGGACTCGGGGCAGCTTACATGAGGCCAAGCCCGAACAACAAATTACAGCAAAATAAAACCAAAAACAACATGCAACAAACAACAACATGGTAATTACTAGGGCTGGGAGGTTTCGTTTCGTAATTTCATAATTCGTTAAAAATTCGTTTTTTTAATAACGAAGCGATATTGAACCATTCAGGAGCAACTAAAAAACGAAACGAATTTTTCCAATTCGTTTCGTAATTGTTTCATAATTGTTTCGGAATTGTTTCGGAATTGATTAGTTATTGATTCGTAAATGTTTCGTTATTATTTCCGCATGTCTGGTGCAAGTTTTAGGGTTGCTGTTTGTTTTCTCAGTGAAAAAAAATATAATTATCACACCAACAGTCAACAACAGAGGGAGAGGGAAGCTTCTGAAGTTTTTTTAGTGTATTGCGCGATCGCGGCTGCCATTAACGAATCGATTCGTAATCGATTCGTAATTGTTTCGTAATTGGGTTTTTGATTTCCGAAATTTCGTAAATATCGAACTTTTTTTAAGGAAAATTTCGGAATTCTTTTAAATAACGAAATGCAAAAAACCCCTAAAAACGAATCGAGTTTAGAAACAAATTTTTCCGTGTTTGGACAGCCCTAGTAATTACATAAAATATATGAATATATTAACAATATAAGATTACAATAAACATAGTCGCATATTTTTTCTGGCCAAGACAAAGCTGTGCCTCCCTAGTCAATGTTGTACATCTTTTCACAAGAAGATCAATCAGGAACAGCCATGTACAACCCAGGAACAAGAACCCTGTTGTTTGATGCCACAGGTACACAACCAAATCTGTCTGGATGGATGGCCAGGCAGCCAGGCTCTAAAAAGTGTCAATAATGACAAAGTTCTGTTCCAGGCTTGAAAGTGTATGTTCCTATTTGATTATGCAGTGCTGACTTGGGCAGAAGTGGTCCTACCCCATAAACTTTGTGTGGCAGATACTTCATGAAACATCTGGGGGGCACAGTTTCTCTGTCCAGGGCAAAGAACAGAACTTTTGCAGTGATCTGCTGCAGTGATTCTTTGTTTATCTGCATATTCACATCTTGAGGTTTTTTTTTAAAAAAGTGGCCATCTTGGGAGCTTGTAAATATCACAACAAAGCATCAAGTCAGGACAATGGAGGCAGAAATCCCGGGACCAACAGGTCTGTATGTGGACCTCTTCTGAAGTCCCAGGATTTTTTTTGCCCCTGTTTAAAACCCGTGATTTTGTGCTGCCTGGAAGCTTCCCCTAGTCCTTTCCTACTGCAGAATTCGAGCGCCGAATTCCACTTTATTCCATGGCAATGTCTAATGTGTTTCTGGGATTTGCAGTTTATGGATGTATATTTAAAATTCTCAGACACAAAACTCTATTGCCTCATCAGATTACCAACCCCATTGGATACATCCAAGGTATTTAAACTGCGATTATAGTGTTATAAATGTGCAGTGTGGAAGTCTTCTACATGATTTCCACCACCACTTTACTTGCTTCCTCCATCAGATCATAAAATTAGAAAGAATGAAGTAGTGTGTGTGTGTGTGGCACCAATAATCTTTGTCAATAGATGTTGTAAAACTACAACTATTTATTTATTTATTTACAGCATTTATATGCCACCCTTCCCACCCCGAAGGGGACTCAGAGCAGCTTAACAAGTAAAAAGTAAATACAATATATTATATAATTACCATATCACAATATTAATAAATGTAATTAATAGTTACATTGTACTATAACGTTATACTGTAATTTTATTAGTAATATTACATTTAATATAAAATATATAATTATAATTTTATATTATTATTAGTAGTATTATATTGTATTACATTGTACTATTATCAATATTATATGTATATATAATAAACATGAGTCAACAATGTGATGTGGCGGCAAAAAAAGCCAATGGGATTTTGGCCTGCATCAATAGGAGCATAGTGTCTAGATCTAGGGAAGTATTGCTACCCCTCTACTCTGCTTTGGTTAGACCACACCTGGAATATTGTGTCCAATTATAGGTACCACAATTGAAAAGAGATATTGACAAGGTGGAATGTGTCCAGGAGGGCGACTAAAATGATCAAGAGTCTGGAGAACAAGCCCTATGAGGAACGGCTTAAGGAGTTGGACATGTTTATCCTGAAGAAGAGAAGGCTGAGAGAAGATATGATAGCCATGTATAAATATGTGAGAGAAAGTCACAGGGAGGAGGGAGCAAGCTTGTTTTCTGCTTCCCTGGAGACTAGGACATGGAACAATGGCTTCAAACTACAAGAAAGGAGATTCCATCTGAACATGAGGAAGAACTTCCTGACTGTGAGACCCCGTTCAGCAGTGGAACTCTCTGCCCCGGAGTGTGGTGGAGGCTCCCTCTTTGGAAGCTTTTAAACAGATGCAGGATGGCCATCTGTCAGGGGTGCTTTGAATGCAATATTCCTGCTCCTTGGCAGGGGGTTGGACTGGATGGCCCATGAGGTCTTTTCCAACTCTTTGATTCTCTGATTCTATATTGTATTGTATTATATTATGTTATACTGTAACTACTATGACTCCACTACACTGAGCAATAACAGTTAAAAGTTCTGTCAAACTTCATTAATTCTACATTGTTGATCAGGCATGGGCAAACTTCGGCCCTCCAGGTGTTTTGGAATTCAACTCCCACAATTCCTAACAGACTACAGAAGTTTGCCCGTGCCTGCTGTAGATGCATCGAGAAAGAGAGAGAGAGATTAAAGACAGATGTGAAAAGATGACAGAAATCCTACATCTGCTAGTAGGTGAATAGGGTATTTTCTTCCCCAAAACACAGGATTGTTTAGCCATCTAAACAAGTCACAACTATGAAAACTGGGGGTAAAGCCTCCACCCATTTCTAAATAAATTGTGTATGGATTAGCAAAACCGAGCTTGTTCATTACTCATAGCATTCTTTTCATGATGTAGAAAAACCAGTCCCATTGTGCCTGACCCCATTTTCTTCCAGTTTCCATTAATTACCCAAGGAACGCACACCCACATTAAATATTTAAGGTGCAGAAGCTTTAGGCACAGTTCTTATATTAAGTAATCTGTCTGGTTCTACCTGGCATCTTCATTCCGATTTGATTTGTTTACGTTTCTTTTATAGTTTCTTATGACTCTAGTTCCGGGTAACATCTACATCTACATCTGTGGATGAATGCAGGTTAATACTATCTTAACTGCCATGGCTCAATGGTATGGAGTTGTAGAGTTGTAGTTATACAAGGTCTTTACCATTCTCTATCAAAGAGTGGTGGTGCTCCTATGGTTCCATAGTATTGAGTCCTGGCAGTTATGGTGGTGTAAAAATCCATTTATTCTCAAGTGTAAATCAGTCATGGGCAAACTTTGGCCCTCCGAGTGTTTGGACTCCAACTCCCACAATTGTGGGAGTTGGAGTCCAAAACACCCGAAGGGCCAAAGTTTGCCCATGTCTGGTGTAGATGTACCACCAGCATACATGGAAGCATTGGGAGATGTTTCTCCAAAGCT